TATATTTGCAACATAGTTGCTTAGAGTTGCAGCTGAGAGGCCGGCAAGTCAGGCGGGGAACGTTGGAGTCCGCCGTCACTGGAGCAAGCAAGCCTCCCTGTTTGCTTCAGTGCATGGCTGCCAGCCGCCATCTTGGCTGGCAGTTAATTTGCATATCTCCCTGATTAGCCTATGGGAAGGGTAGCGGATGTAGGGCTAATTGCCATGTTTCTCTTTTATTAGATAGGACTAGTATATAAGAGGCTAAGTTGACTCATGCATGTGTGATACATATAAAGCTCTCGCTGGCGCCAATTGCACGCGTGTGCTTCGATCTGGCATGAATTTGGTTGACACTTCTATTATAGAGGAAGGGCAAATAGCGTTATTAAAATATTTTTTAAATTAATTTCCTTTCGATGTGCGTGAATCCGTGCACCAGGCCTCTAGTTTATTATAATTTTTTCTGGGATGGGGACAGATGTCAAGGCAGAGGGAGATAACCAAACTAATTTGCAGGTCTGGTATATGTCAGTTACTTGCACTCGTGTGTTTGTATGTCTGTATTTCTGTCTGAGCATGAGAGATATTGTTTAAAATGGAAGGTTTTTGGAAGCTTTGACAAAAACCTCCTGTTTAATCTTACAAAAAAGTATATATAGAAGAATACATGAAGGTATATGTTTTTTGTTGGTGAATCTTGTCCGATTTTGTTACAGGGCTGGGAAAAAAGAATGCTTTTAACACATTATTAAATGCTTGTGACTAACAGAACATTAAAATACTAGAAAATGTAAATGAGACTTAATATTTTACTTCCAATAATATTGTCACTGTCATTTTTTAGCTCTCTGAAATTTATGGTTTCATTATAAAAACATTCTCTTCATATAATTTAATATTTTGAAATTATCTTTATTTTTTAGGATTGAGTGTGGTAGCATAGCAAGCTATTTATGAAATTATAGGTTAAGGTTTATCAGCTAAATGTTCATCTTATTACAGCCTCTATGGACGAAAGCGGGCAGAAGATGTCATTTCCTTTATAAAAACGGAAGTACATCTTGCGATTCCTAATGTGGTAAGAATGATCAAATAGCCAAGTTAACACAAGGATATTTGGGTAATGTATTTGACAAGGGTTACACGAGAACTGAACTTTCATTTATGGTAACCTCTTGGTCCTATGTATCTTTCTATCTCACCCCCGTATTTAACAAAAATAAAAATATTATCGTTAATCTCTGTTATAAAATTGCTCTGCATAGCTCATGGTGTGCTGAAGTGCAGTCAAGCGTCTGGTCAGCCATCATTTAGCAAGTTTTCTAAAAATCTTGCTTTTTCTTGCTTCAAACATTAAATTATCTAAATAAGACCACCTCAAACACACTACCGTGAGGCAATCCACTAAATGTGGCAGAATAGAAAGAAAGAGAGAGCCTACACCCTGAGCACCATGGAACCCTTGTGCTTTCTCATGGACCATCTCTCCCACCACCCACTGCAAACCGGCATCTGGAACTCTGACAGGTGCACGCTGTGAGGGTTAGGGTTAGGCCAGGGGGGACAGGCTGTGTCTCACCTGCTCCATGTCTCCGCGGTGGCTTCCTGGAGGCACAGTTCAGAGCCTGAGGTCAGACTCTTGGCAGGGGAGCTTCTTCAGTGGTTTTGCTTCATGGACACCCAACACATAGTCCACAACTGTTGGCTGCATCCAGCCCCCCTCCCAGGGAAAGGATGCCAGGTCCTGTGTTCGACCCTCTTGCCTGCAGGAACTGAGAAAGTCCGCATGCAGTCTGCGCTGCCCTCACACCCCCCTCCTGAAAGCAGCCGTTTCTTGGGGCAGCTGAGGCTTTCCCCACTTGCGGGGTGGGGGAGGGAAGGGGGCGGTGAGAAGCAGAGGGACGGAGCGCATGTGCCAACAGAACCAGGGGCTTGTTTCTTCTTCCACAGGTGATGGTTCCGAGCTTGGATGACATTCAACAAGCCATTAACCGGATGATCCAGTTAACCCTGGAGGTCAGCAGAGGAGTGGCTCACTGGGGGCAGCAGCCCACCCGGCACATGAAGAATCTCAAGGTCAGTCCCAGCCGCACCGCTGACCTGGCGCATCCAAGTGGAGGAAAGCAGCTGAAGAGGGAAGAAAGTAAGAGCGCTACATCTCAGACCGATGGAGTCTTTGGGTTACAATGTACACGTGCTCTTCTCGGGCTCGTCCTGGGTTCAACAGCTTGTAGATATTTTTAAAAGTAACTTTTATATGTTTATTTGTTAAGTTTTGCCTTTAAAAAACTAGTGTTTACCACCCTCCACTTTTTAAAAAGATATGTTTTTATTGGTATTAGAGAGAGAGAAAGAGAGAGGGATAGAGAGATAGGAACGTTGATGAGAGAGATACATCAATCGGCTGCCTCCTGCATGCCCCGCACTGGGGATGTGCCCACAGCCCAGGCATGCGCCCTTGGCCAGAAACAAACCTGGGAGCCTTCAGTCCGCAGGCAGATGCTTTATCCACTGAGCTAAACCAGCAAGGACATACAATACATTATTATTAACTACAGTCACTATGCGACATGAGGTCTCCAGAACTTATTCACCTTATAACGGAAAGTTTGTATCCTTTTTCTCCATCCTCAGACTCTGGTAACCACTATTCTACTCTCTGTTACTATGATTTTTTTTTTTACAATGAAATGTTTTCATTGTAAATATTTCAGCCTTAAAAATAAGGAAATCCTGCTATTTGTGACAACATGGATAAATCCAGAGGGCATTATGCTAAGTGAAATAAGCCAGACACAGAAGAAAAATATTGGATAATCTCATTTATGTGTGGAATCTAAAAAAAGTAAAACTCTTTTTCTGAAAATACACTACCTCCTCTGGTAACCAGGGAGATGCCAATTAAACATAAGGTGCCGTGTGAGTTCCAGGAACAGGTGGCCCAGACCCCCATGCCGCCTTTCCGTGTTGCACAAACACGCCTCTCTCGGCTCATCTCTGTAGTGTCACGGGGTATTCCCTATAACCAGCTGATAGAGGACAAACACAGTCTCAGGCCTGGCCTATGGTGAGTTGGCTTGATGTGTTGGTGTGAGCGGAAATGCACTAGAGCCTACTCAGCAGTGGCCCTTAAGGACTGCGAGACGGGGAGTTTCCCCGTGGGCAGAGCTTCAAGTAGCATCTCCTTTTGAAGGAGGGAGAAGTGATCTGAAGCGAAGGTATACGTGGACTCGTGGGCGGTGACGATGGCTGGACAAGTTGTGCAGGTCCTAGAAGGACCAGCACTGGGAAATCAGGGGCAAGGAGGTCTGGGGGAAAAGCCTGTGAATGAATCTATGGATCTATGGATCTATGAATATACAAACCTAGCGACGGGGCTAGGAATGAATCCAGAGGAGAGGACTGGAGTCCAATTGTCTGATTTTCAGTCCATTAGTCTATTATTGTAGCAGGCCAAACGTAAAGCTAAAAACCATAAGGTGCAAGAATCTTTCCACTAATCAGCAACTTTGCAAATAAGAATTCTATTCTCTGCCATATTATCAACCAAGTGTGATGGTAGAATAAAGGCATTTTCGGACATTGACTGTCTTAAAAAATTTTACCCAGTGCACCCTTTTCCACAAAGTTACTGTACCCTTTCAAATTGAGAAAATAAAGCAAAGAAAAACGAGAAGAAGACAGGAGATGTAGGAAACAGGAGTGGAATGCAGCAGGGAGGTGAAGGGAATTCCCCGGTGGACGGTAAAGGATGAGTACACAGGGACACATGTAGTCTAAGCATAGAGGGTCAAGAGAGAGACGAGTTTTTGCTGCTCTTACCACAGTGCCTGGGGCCATTGTACTGTCTTTTAACTTGAAGACGGAATGCCCGGTGAACCTGGTCCAGATTCTTGTCTGTGCTTGCCTGCTTTCACCATGTGCTGACAGAGTCGCTGCTCTACTCGCATTGCTCTGGGTCAGCGGGAGGAGCTCGGGTCACTCGGAAGGGTTCTGCTTTGGCTGCTACTGAGACCTGGAGGGAAGGCGATGTGATCCAGGAGAACACGGAGTAGCCCGCTGTCCCGGCCCTATTTCTGCTGGACATCCATTACTTGGCTCATAAACACGGCCCTGCCAGGTGCCCTGATTGCGATGAGACCTGTATTATCTCGATACTGCAGGATTCACTTACGATCCTTCGCCATGGCTTCCTCCAAAGGGCTTTTGTCAGCCTGCAGGACGCGGCAGCAGGACTAGACCCAGAGACTAGCTTCTTTTCTCCTGGAGCCTCCATCTAGCACGAACATTGATGTCTTTCTTTCTACGTGTGTCCTTTGGCTCAGTTTTTAAAAAACCAAACGACATATTGTCTAGAGATAAGTACATTGGTTTACCTTCAAGTACATCTTCAAAGAAAATGCAGGAGAGCGGATACCTCTGGGGGTCAGGGAATGTGATTGGAGAGCGGCCGAGAGAGGATTACTGATATCTTGGCATTCTCTTCTTAACCCGGTGCTGAGTACATTGAAATTATCTTTTTCTCCTTCAGTATATGTTTTATATACTTTGAATTCTTTTTTAACAAATGTGTTATATGGGCTTCTGTGAATATGATATAGTTCACTCACCCACATACATCCTCTTAGCAAACTAGGAATATGAGGGATGTTCTGATAATGCTATCCATGGAAAAATTTAGAAGCATTTCTTTTCCATCAAAATGAAGAAATGATTTTATCAGTTTTATTCAATATTTTACTGGAGATCTTCACTATGAGTCAGACAATAAAAAAATTAGATGAGTAATTAGAAAAGAAGCCAAGATTGTGTTTATTTAAAGGTCATGCATAGGAAGTTCAAGCAACCTAGAAACAACTATTATAACTAATAAGTTCAATAATATTTATGTAAAAAGACCTATATAGAAAAATAAAAAGTATCTGTAATGGCCAATAATCCAATTAAAATGTAATACACTATGTCAATTATATCTCAATAAATCTGGAAAAAATGTAATAGAAAAAACAGATTTTCAATAGCCACAAAACCATGAAGTTTATAAATAAATGTAAAAAATATTTTCACAGCATTTTTGGAGAAAATGGTTATTATTGAATGACAAATGGAATGAATTTATAACATGAAGAAGTCAATTCCTTGATTAATTTACAAATTCAATACAATTCCAGTAAAATTACAACAGAATTTTTTCTATAATTTCTTAATCTAATTTTAATAATTTATTGTAAAACTATATGGAAGTGCAGAGAGTCAAAAATAGCTCAAAAATTGGTGAAGAAAAACAAGGTAGGGGGCCCTGCAAAATAGCAACTGATCAATGCTTCTCTCTCAAATCAATAAAAACATATCCTTGGGTGAGGATCCATAAAAGATAAAAATTGATAAGTTGAACTGTATTCAAATTAAAAATCTTTGTTCTTTAAAAGATACCATTAGAAAAATTAAAAAGAGAAGCCACAGATTGGAAGAAAATGTTTGCAAATCAGACAGTTGATAAAGTACTCGTGTTCAGAATATAAAAAAGAACTCTCACAACTGAATTATAATAAGGTACTTCCCCTATCCCAAATGGACAAAGGATTAGACAGTTCAACAAGATGATGTATGATTGGCTAATAAACACACGAAAAGATGCTCAACACCCTTAGTTATTAGGAAAACGCAATTTTAATAAACCACGAGCTAGTAGTAACACACTAATTAAAATGGTTAAAATGAAAGGGAAAAAAAAGATAATCGACAATCCCAATTGTTGACAAAGAACCTGGAACGCTGATGCATTACTGATGGGAATGTAAAAAGGTACAGCCACTTTGGAACCAGGTAGGCCCTTCCTTAAAAAAAATTAAACATATCTTCACCATTTGGCTCAGCAACTCCACCTTTAGGGATTTTATCTAAGAGAAATGAAATCATGTGTCCATATAAAGGCTTGCATGTGAATGTTCATAGCTGCATTATTGGTAAGAGACCCAAAATGCTAACAACCTAGATACCCATTGGTGAATGGGTGAACAAAATGTGGTATGTTGACACAGTGGAATACTTCTCGGCAATAAAAGGGAAAGAACTACCCAGACATGCACTGTTAGTTAATTAACTTAATTAAGCCAATTCCTTGTCATTTTCTTTTGCTTGAATTTTGATTAAATATAAGACAAAAGAGCAAATAAGTGACCGGCCTTGGAGGAGACACTCAGCTTCAGCTCATTGTTGCCATGAAATGTGGACCCTATGCTACCAGCTTTCAAGAGAAAAGCTGAAAATCTGGAATTTTGTGTGAATCCCACGATTTTTCTTTGTTAGCAGCTGGTTGAAAAGGGAAGGCACTGTTAGAGTGAAACAGCAGTATCTGCATAGTCTCGGATGGAGGATACTTGAAGATGTCCATTGAGGCTGGGACATGACCAGATTTTGGCAAGAGATGCTGATAGCGGTGGCTGGTAGTGATTGGGTGAGCTCCATGTACCAGCTGCTGAGCTGAAGACGGACATAAGTTGTCTCATTTCGTTCTCACAAGTATCTCCATGAGGACTAAATAACTTGCCTAAGGTTATGTGGGTAATAAATGTGGTGCCTCCCCTCTAACCACCATACTATTTTGGAAGGTAGCAATTTCAACTTTTTTGACCTTTCCTTGGAGGACTTTAAGTTTTTTTGGGGGGAGAGTGCGGGGGGGTTAATCAGTGCCTTTCAGTTCTCTCCTCTGAAAAACACAGTTTTTCCACATTAAAGAAATCTGGACCTTAAAATATTTTTAAATATTTTTATTGATTTTTGAGAGAGAGAGAGAGAGAGAGAGAGAGAGAGATCGACGCGAGAGCAGCTCAGGGATGTGCCCTGGCTGGGAATTGAACCCGCAACCTTGAGGGTCACAGGATGACACTCAACCAACTGAGCCACGCCGGCCAGGGCCCAAAATAGTTTGACACAATCGTTTAACAAGAACAAGTTAAGAGCTTAGCTGGTTGAGGGTCATCCTGTGCACAGAAAGGTTGCCAGTTGGAATCCTGGTCAGGGGCATGCAGGAGGCAGCCAATCCATGTTTTGCTCTTGCATGTATATTTCTCTCTCTCTCTCTCTCTCTCTCTCTCTCTCTCTCTCCTTTTCCTCCTCCTCCTCCTCCTCCTCTTCCACCTCCTCCTCCCTCTCTAAAAAATCAATAAAAATATTTTTTTAAAAAAGAAGTGAAGACAGCAAGAGAATAGTTCTTAATTACTTTAGAGGGGGAGTCTTTAAAATAACACAGCTTGAAAAAGTCTATAAATATTGAAATGGATATAATATTTAAAGTTGTATAGACGTTGTCCATATGTGAAAACATCTGTTTTCAGGATCTTTTGAAGACCTAATTCCTGCGAGGAAGCTGAAGAATTTTTATCCAGGTGTAGCAGAACACAAGGATATTTCCAAGTTGGTCCTGCTCCTTTCTTCCTCCGTGAATTCTCTAAGGAAGGCGGCCCATGAGGCTCTGCAGGACTTCCAGAAATACAAGACACTCTGGACAGAGGACCGCGACGTGAAAGTGAAGGTGCATTTCTGCTGCCTGGGATGCAGTTGGGGTTTGGTTTGTTTATATCTAGTGTGTGCAGGAGCACCAAGAAAATATCGGTGATAATGACAGGAACCGTGAGCAGAGGGCAATAACCTATAAGTGCCAAGCACCTAACCTGTTGTATCGTGTGTCACTCTCACAGTGACACTCTGAGGCTCTGAGTCAAATTCATGTCTGAATTTCGTGTAATTTGGGTAAACAGTTGAGGACCAGTTACGTTCAGACCGTCCGGGGCCAGGCACTCAGGGTGTGCACACCTACAGAGGCTCTGCTGTAGTTTTAGTCAGACTCAAGGGAACCTGAGAATTCTGAACAGCCATTCATGACTTCTGTGACCTTCCCTCCCACAGCTCTCTTCCAGTACTAACAGGTAGTTTGCCTTTTCCTGGTCTGCTCACCTGATAGCACAGACCAGTGTAAAAGTACCTGAGTTAGTGCAGTGCTCTAATGTAACTATTTACGTAGAGGATTTATACTTTTTACGTAAGGGATTTAATTTGGAGAAGAATCAAAAGCTAAAGAAAACACTGATTGTTTCCTCAGGAATTTCTGGCTCACAACCCCTCTCTGACTGAGATCAGATCAGAAATTCTGCACTACGCCACCTTTGAGCAGGAGATTGATGAGCTGAAGCCTGTCATCATTGTAGGAGCACTCGAATTGCATACAGGTATTTAAAAATATTCCGTAACATATCTGTATTTTCACAGGAAGCGTCACTTAATTTAGAAGCAGTCATTAAGCTACCTTGGTACAACAATCTAAATGTTAAATATTTCTGGACCTCCAATATTGTTCATGTATGTGTTACATATAATATGTATGTGATGTGATATATTATGTCTTTTTATATATAATATTATACCACGGTGGCTTAACACACTTAATCGGCAGCACAGCTCCTCGATTGGCAGTCAAACAGCTGAGGATAAGGTGAAAGTTTTTGTGAGGAGGGGTTGTATACCTGAGCTAGGAGTCAAACAGTTTGAAGTCTCCTGAGAAGTTAAACTGTTTGGGATTAGAGCATCAAAGGGTGATGAAGCAACCACTTCATGTCTGAAATAAAAGCACGAAGTGACTTTAGTGCTTCCTGAAGTGAGGGAGAGCTGGGCTGGCCCGGCACAGAGCTCCCTGCAGAGCAGACTGGAGGTCTCACGTTGTGGACCTTGAGTTTACATCATCTGTAGAAGGATGCTTGCTTGGGTGAGACTATTGCTGATTGGTTGGCACCCAGAGGCGGGGGTATTGAGTATGTTCCTCCTGATTGGTGGACATTCAGAAGAGAGGGGCTGACACTGATTGACTTGCAAAAGTATGTGAACTAAGGCGAATTGGTCTATGGTTTGAGTTTAAAACTGGTTGTGGTGGCGACTTGTTGCCATGGTTACAGAGGTACAATCAGTTTTGTCTTAAGTTTGTGAGATAAATACTCACTGATTAGCCAATGAAAAGGGTAGTGGTCGTACGCCAATTACCATGTTTCTCTTTTATTAGTGTAGATTATACCACGGTGGCTTAACACACTTAATCGGCAGCACAGCTCCTTGATTGGCAGTCAAACAGCTGAGGATAAGGTGAAAGTTTTTGTGAGGAGGGGTTGTATACCTGAGCTAGGAGTCAAACAGTTTGAAGTCTCCTGAAAAGTTAAACTGTTTGGGATTAGAGCATCAAAGGGTGATGAAGCAACCACTTCATGTCTGAAATAAAAGCACGAAGTGACTTTAGTGCTTCCTGAAGTGAGGGAGAGCTGGGCTGGCCCGGCACAGAGCTCCCTGCAGAGCAGACTGGAGGTCTCACGTTGTGGACCTTGAGTTTACATCATCTGTAGAAGGATGCTTGCTTGGGTGAGACTATTGCTGATTGGTTGGCACCCAGAGGCGGGTGTATTGAGTATGTTCCTCCTGATTGGTGGACATTCAGAAGAGAGGGGCTGACACTGATTGACTTGCAAAAGTATGTGAACTAAGGCGAATTGGTCTATGGTTTGAGTTTAAAACTGGTTGTGGTGGCGACTTGTTGCCATGGTTACAGAGGTACAATCAGTTTTGTCTTAAGTTTGTGAGATAATTATTCTCAGAAGATATTTGAATGACCTATTTTGCATCAACTAAACCTACTTGAGCTATGTTGAAGGGAGAAAAGGTATATCCCATAGGTTTTCACATCTATGCTCAAGGAATCAATGTAACGGTGGCTCTCAAATTTAACTACCAACACTACTTGACCCCTTTTCTGCTGGTGTAGACAGTACCCACCTCATGAGCTATTTTATATACGCTTAGCATGGTACCTGGCAAATAGTTAATGTCCAATAAATATTATATACTATTATATCTCCAAAGAAGGGACTTCATTTGCAGAAGAATCACAAATACTTGAGGGGATTATTTAGCTAGAAACAGAAACGATATTTCAAGGGCAATCATTACAAGAACTTCGGTAACGTTTTGGAAACTGTACTCTACCTATTGTTTTAATGTTCTATTTGTTCCCTTGTAGTGGTTAGCACTATGATCCTTAATACAAAAATTAACTGTAGCACAGTGTTCTAGTTGGCCAGGTACTTGCTCTTAGAGGGAGAAAACTGAAAATGGGATAGGTGAAAACAATGATAAAGAAAGGGGAAGGGAGGCTGAATCCCTGGGGCCCGAGGAAAAGGAAAAAAGAGGCCCAGGAGGTGTGGACCTTATGAAATAGGATCTCACAGCCTCAGTCAACAGCTGGCCCTGTGTGTCTTGTCAGGGTACACTTTCCTCAGCTCCCTAGTCCTCTCAGTTTAAGTGTTAGGGGTTGAGAGGGGAGAGGTTGTGTTTCCAGTTTGGCAGGGCTGGGGAGCTGAGGGGCACCGAGAAGAGAAAAAGGAATGGGTAAGGATAGAGAAGGTAGAGTTGACTAGTTAGAACTGTGGTTTTTTTTTAAGGAACAGAAACCTACTTGAGCTATGGTGAAGGGAGAAAAATATATCCCAAAATCCAAGGTGCAACTGGCTTTCGGAATGGACCAGAACCAGGGACAGTATAGGAAGCTGAGGAAATCCTTTCTCTCTGACTCTCATTTCTTCTCCCCTCTGTGCATGACTTTCCTGCTTTCCCGTCAAGGGGGCTCCCCTTAAGTCTTATTCCAGACTCTCAAGAACAGACTCTGATTAGTACATGTAAGGTCAAGATTGACTGGGACCATCAGCGAGGCCCAGGTTCAGGGTCAGGTTATACACATTCTCTAGCCATGTGGGTGAGGTAGGAAGTGGAATAACAAGAAAACAGGAAGGTTTGGAAGACAAAAAATATATTACACTGTACTGTGTGGGGTTACCTAGAAGAAAATGGGGTGATGCGTGAGGGCCAGAAGCAGAGCAAGGTTCATGTTGGACAGTGCTAGAAGTAACTTCTGAAATTCTTCTTCATAGACTTTCGTGTCCTCTTGCACAGCTTAGCTTACTCCACGGGGATAGGAATTAAATCTTCAGAACTGAGCAACCTTACAGCACATTCAAGTCGAACTAACTACTTTTCAAGTGCTCAGTAGCCATATGTGGCTAGTGGCTGTCACATGGGCCAGAGCAGTTATAGATGCTCAGATTACACATAAAATGAATCGTTTCAGAATGTCAGGTGTATTCTATTTTGATCTTTTCTTGTCTTCACCAGAGCCAATGAAATTGGCCTTATCAATTGAGGCTAAGGCATGGAAGATGTTACTCTGTCGATACCTGAATGAAGAATACAAAAAGAAAATGTCAGACATGATAGCATTTATTACTGAATACTTGAAAAAGTTATCTAGACCGATTCGTGATTTAGATGATGTCAGGTTTGCAATGGAAGCCTTGTCTTGTATCCGTGATAATGAAATTCAAATGGACATGACTTTGGGACCAATTGAAGTAAGAAATGATTGCATTTTTCATTCTTAGAGTGCTATTAAAAAATAGAGACACACTAAAAATTGATTCTGTTAACATATTTCATTATGTTATGGTACAGTCTGTCTATTTCTCCTTTCTGATGTTGATTTCTTTGGAGGTATTTTGACAATTATCATCAGTGAACAGTAAACAAGGGAATAGTAAAATATTAATAATGATGTACGGGTCTAGACAGTGTTCATTTTATTTTATGCTGGCGCTGACCTTTTACAGAAGGGAGTGGTTGCACTGTCTCACACCAGTCCCAACATCTTAGGCGAGTTCCCCAACTATCTTTGTCTTTCCTTAGAAACCAGGTCTAGGCCTCACTCATGGCCAGTGGCATACATGGGCAGCACGGTGGGAGTGGTCCACTTAGGCTTAATGGGAAACTGCTGGAATTTAGACGAGCAGATGTTTTTAGGGAAGAGTACTGTATTCACTTTCTTTTGCTAATACAAGAACAAATTACCATAAACTTAACGGCTTAGAGCAAGGCAGATTTGTCATCTTAGCGTTCTAGAGCTCAGCCATCTGAGAATGGGTCGATTAGGGCTAAAATCAGGATGTCAGCAGGGCTGCACTTTTGGAGGCTCGAGGGAAGAAGCCGTTCAGCTCCTAGAGGCTGGCGGCAGTCTTGGCTCATGCGCCTTCCAGCAGTGGTATCTCTCCTGCTCTGCTTCTGTCCTCACGTCTCTGACTCCCACTCTCCTGCCTTCACGGTTCCCTTGTGTGGACCTTATGATTACACTGGGCCCACACAGTCAACCCAGGATAATCTCCCAGGATAATCAAGTTGCTTAACTTAATTACCCCTGCAAGGCCCCTATGCTGTGTAAGGTAACATAATCACAGGTTCCAGAGATTAGGATGTGGACAATTTTGGGGAGACCATTTTTCTGTCTACCATAAGGGTTTTGTGACTAATATTTAGAAGTCACGGTTCATGGTGATAATAAAAATCAGACTTTTAATTCATTTTATTACTGTTTTTTAAATTCTCTATAGACAATGCACTCCTTCATTGCCTGCATTTCCAATGCCTCCTTTTGGTACCCAACCTCATGGCTGAGCATAGCTTTCATATTTTTATATATATTTCAGAGAGGAAGGGAGAGGGAGAGAGACATAGAAACATCAGTGAGGAGAGGGAATCATCTGTTGGCTGACTCCTGCACTGGGGATCGAGCCCACAACCTGGGCATGTGCCCTGACAGGAAATCAAACTGTGACCTCCTGGTTCATAGATTGTGATCAACCACTGAGCCACACCAGCCAGGCCGAGCATAGCTTTCTTTTCTTCTTCTTCTTCTTTTTTTTTTGAGCATAGCTTTCTTGATCCTATTTAGAGTTTATGCTTTTTGGTAGCTCATGAACTTCATACCTTTATTACTTCTTTAAATATTAACATTTGGGATTTTGGATGCTGACCACCCATTCCTCAAGATTTAGCAAATCATCATACCATTTTTTCCCTAACTCCAGAAGCTCAATTCTTCAATATAAATTCTTTTGGTAAAAGCAGTTGCTAATCCATCTCTTTAGTCATTCAAGTTTCTGTTCTTTGGAGTATCTCTCCCATCATCATTTCGTTCCATTCCTTGTATAGCCAACTCATATTTTAATAAAGCACGAGACAGTATTTTGCATGGTGTTGACACAAGATCAAGTAGGCGAGAGAGGCAGAAAATGACTGTAGGGATTATTTTCTAGGGCAGAATCTCCGTGTGATCTGCCTACAGCTCCATCCGAATCACCTAGGCGCTTATTACATGCAGATTTCAGGGCCTTGGATTTAAGTTAGTACCAATGTCAGCGAGAATTGAGAGGTGCTTCTTTCCATGTTTAGTATCGGAAACAAGTCTCTGGAGTGTGCTGTTTTCTGAGACATGGGACTATGTTTCTAGAAGGCATCTAAATAATTTGACAGTGGCTTCCCTTGTGATGTTTCTGAACTCACCCTCACTCCACAGGAAGCCTATGCTATTCTAAACAGATTTGAAGTTGAAGTAACCAAAGAAGAATCAGAAGCAGTTGATACCTTGAGATATTCTTTCAACAAATTGCAGAGCAAAGCTGTAAGTACAAACTTAATTCTTATTTTTTACTTATAAATTCTTATGTAATTCTTAGAGTGACTGGCTTAAGTCACTATCTCCAGAAAAACACACACACATTTCATAGTTTTTAAAAGATAAATACATTTTATTTTAATCACTTTATTGATATACTAGAGCAGTGGTTCTCAACCTTCCTAATGCCGCGACCCTTTAATACAGTTCCTCAGTTTGTGGTGACCCCCAACCATAAAATTATTTTCGTTGCTACTTCATAACTGTAATTTTGCTACTGTTATGAATCATAATGTAAATATCTGATATGCAGGATGTATTTAGGCGACCCCTGTGAAAGGGTCGTTCGACCCCCAAAGGGGTGGCGACCCACAAGTTGAGAACTGCTGTACTAGAGGCACGATGCACGAAGATTCGTGCAAGAATGGGCCTTCCTTCCCCTGGCTGCTGTCACTGCCTTTGCTCTGGCCGGAGCCACCTTTCTGCCTTTGTTCTGGCTTCCCACGCTGCCCAGAGGCCCAGAGCGGCTGGGGCGGTGCGGAACGCCTGCGTTATCACTATGGCGACAACGCAAGTGTCCCTCCCCACCCTGCCCCTGGCTGCTCGGCACCTGCGTATGCAAATTAACCCACCATCTTTGTTGGGTTAATTTGCATACCGATTGGCTGGTGGGTGTTGTGAAGGTACGGTCAATTTGCATCTTCCTCTTTTATTAGTGTAGATAATCCACATGAAATTTACCATTTCACAGTATACAATTCAGTGATTTCTACTGTAGTCACAGAGTTGTACAAACACCATCACTATTTAATGTTAGAACATTTTCATCCCCCAAAGAAACCCTAAACGCATTAGCAATTACTCTTTATTTTCTCTCTACAGCCTCTGGCAACCACAACTCTACTATCTATGTATGGGTTTGCCTTTTCTGGATATGTAATATACATAGAATCATACAATGTGTAATTTTTCATGACTGGCTTCTTTCAATTAGCATAATATTTTCAAGGTTTATTTGTATTGTCTTGTGTAGCAGTACTTTATTTTACTAATGGCTAATGATGTTGAGCATCTTTCCATGTGCTTTTCAGTTATTTGCACATATTCTTTGGAGAAATGTGTATTTAAATCTGATGTTTTTAAAATTGGGTTATTTCTTTATTTTTGAGTTATAAGAGTTCTTTATATATTTTGGATATAAGTCCTTTATCAAAGAATTTGAAAATATTTTCTCTCATTCTGTGGATTGTCTTATTACTTTCTTGATAGTGTCTTTTGAAGTAAAAGGTTTTAATTTTGAAGAAGTCCAATTGGCATAATTTTAATTTTTTGCTTGTGTTTTTGGTATCATATGTAGGAAATCATTGCCTAATCCAGGATCATGAAGACTTACTATTATGTTTTCTTAAGAAGAGAGTTTTGTAATTTTTAGCCCTTACATTTAGGTCTCTGATACATTTTGAGTTAATTTTTCTGTGTGTGGTGAGTTTTGGGTCCAGCTTCATGCAAAAGCATGTAGATACCAGTTGTCTCAATGCCATTTGTTGAAAAGTCTATCCTTTCACCAGTGAATTGCCTTGGCACCCTGTTGACCATCAGTTGACCATAAGTGGAAGGGTTTATTTCTGGACTCTCAATCTATTCTGTTGTGCATATGTGTACGCCTATGCCAGTACCATACTGTCTTGATTATTGTAGCTTTATACTGGTTTTTTTCTTAATTGTGGTAAAATACACATAACTTAAAATTTACCATCTTAACAATTTTTAAGTATATACAGTTCACTGGTGGCAAGTATATTCACATTGCTGTGCAGTGAATCTCCAGAACTTTTTCATCATATAAAACTAACTCTATACCCATTAACCAGCAACTCCCCACTCTCCCTTCCTTCAGCCCCTGGCATTCTACTTGCTCTCTCTATGCATTTGACTACTTTAGGTACCCTCTAAAATGGAGTCATACAATATTTGTCTTTTTGTGACTGGCTAATTTCAGTTAGTATAAGGTCTTCAAGATTAACCCATGTTATAGCATGTGTGAGAAATCCTGTCCTTGTCAAGTCTGAATAATATTGCATTATATACATAGTACCACATTTTATTGACTTGCTTCCACTTTTTGGCTATTGTGAATTATGTTGCTATGAACATGGGTGTATGAATATCTCATTGAGGCCCTACCTTCAATGTGTTTGGATCTCTATCCAGCAATATAATTCTATTTTAATTTTAATATAATTCCATTTTTAATGAATAATTCTGTGTTCCATCGTGGCTGCACCATTTTACATCCCCACCAACAGTGTACATGTTCCAATTTCTCCACATCCTTGCCAACACTAGTTTCCTTGATAGTAGGCATCCGCATCCACTGTGGTTTTGATTTGCATTTCCCTAATGATACATGATGCTGAGCATCTTTTCATGTACTTATTGACTATTTGTGTATCTTCTTTGGAGAAATGTCTACTCAAGTTCTTTGCCTATTTTTCAATTGGATTGTTTGTTGTTGAGTTGTAGGAGTATTTTTATAAGTTCTGGATGTTAACACCTTATGAGATATATGATTTGCAATTATTTTCTCCCATTCTGTAGTTTGCCTGTTCACTCTGTTGATTGTGTCCTTATAATCCTTTTTATTTCTGTAAGGTAGGTGGTGCTATCCTGCCTTTCACTCCTAGCTTTAGAATTTGGGTCCTTTCTCCTTTATTCTTGGTTTGTTTAGGTAAAAGTTTATCAATGTTGCTGATCTTTTCAAAGATGAAACTTCAGATTTGTTGATTTTTCTCTATTGTTTTTGTAATCTCTATATCATTTACTTGTGCTCTATTTTTTAAATTATTTCTTCCCTTCTGCTTGCTATGGGTTTAGTGTTTTCTATTTTCCTAGTTTGTTAAGGTAGATGGTTAGTTACTGATTTGAGATTTTTAATGTATGCATTTATAGGTATATATTTCTCTCTAAGCATTTTTGAAATAGGTAAATATCTACATACCACAAATTAGACATTAAAAATGAACTCCAAGGGAATGTTCAGATTCTTTAAATATACTGAAAAATTTTATTAAATGTTAATTAAATTAACAATGGCTTAAAATTTATTGTGTATGGGAAAAATTGTCACTGAGGTTGAAGCAAGACATAGTAGCAGGGCATAGAGCTGAAATGGGGTCATGACTTGGGATTCCATTTCTGCTGTCAGCCAATTGGGTGATCATATGCAAGTTAATAATCTTTGTTTCTAAATTTCTTCATGTGGTCATTTAGGAATATTTTAGGAAATTTTTATATGCGGTTATGAGGCTCACTTTGAAGTAATGTATATAAAATAGTTTTATGCTCATGTCTATTTAAGTTCATGTTAAATATTGACTAATATGCTTGTTTTGAAAAATGTTTGCTGGTTAGTCAGGAGAGTGAGTCTTAGGAAGGAAGTGGGAAACACTCATTGAGACTTAGTGAAGTCCAACTTTCTCTTGTTCAATGGAAATAATTCATGTGAGTTGTTCTTCTATCTCTTTAACTGTTAGTGTTAAACCCACTGACCCATGCTCTGGCCAGTTTTCTCAGTAGTTAGAGCATTGGCCATTGTTCTTCTATCTCTTTAACTGTTAGTGTGCTCTGGCCAGTTTTCTCAGTAGTTAGAGCATTGGCCCTCTCACTGAAGGATTGAGGGTTTGGTTCCCCATCAAGGACATGTACCTGGGTTGCAGGTTCGATCCCCAGCCCCAGTTGGGGTGCATGCAGGAGACAACCAATCGATGTGTCTCTCTCATATCGATGCTTCTCTCTCTCTCTCTCTCTCTCTCTCTCTCCCTCTCTCCACACACACACACACATAGCCCACCCTCCCTTCCACTCTCTCTAAAAAAATCAATGGAAAAATTATCCTTGGGTGAGGATTAACAAAATAATTTAAAAAAATAAAAATAAACCCACTGACTTGCCCTTTAGTAGAGGTAGACAATTCCATACTATAGTCATCATTAAACTTAAAGTAGTGTATGTTCCAACCAAGATAGAGGCTATTGTTGAGAGCAGTTAAGGGCGGGGGCCTTGAAACCCCACTGCCAGATTTTGAATCTTGATCTTGCTTCGTACTGGTGCTGGACCCTTAAAGAAATTACTTAGCCTCTCTGTGCCTCAGTTTTCTCACTTGTGAAATGGGTATAATATTAATCTTTACCTCACAGGGTTGTTTTGAGGATTAAATATGATAACACATAAAGAACCTGGCAGATAATAAGCATGAATTAAGTGGTATTATGATGGAAGGTTTAATAAGAAGTTTTGAAGACTATTGTGGAAAACATTTGCTATTTTTTTTTTATACCCAGAGTAATATCACTTTCTTTTAGGGAACAGCTCCAACCACTGCAACCATGTGAACCTACTAGAGGTTGCTAATCCGTGACCTTGAGCTGGCCCCAGAGACAGCATGTGACCCAGACTGGGCCCATAGAAGTAACTGTTTCCTGGGCTATACTGATGGCCTGAGACAGATCAGCCAGAAACTAACTTTCCTAACCTCAGTTAGAGAAGATGTCTTGGGTCATGAACTAGGATGATTTGAATCTCCAGTTAGTGCATTTGGGTCGTTTATTTCTGTGGTTTTTTTTTCTCTCACTTTGCAAAAACATTGCAGAGATGTCTTTGTTCTTATGTGATATCTGTGGGGCAACAAACTTGCTGGAATAGAATTGTAGTTTTCAGTTAATATATTACTTTCACTCTCACATTGAGTATTCCTTCTTGTTCTAGGTTTCTGTACAAGATGAACTAGTTCAAGTGCAGCCAAAGTTTAAAAGTAATCTACTTGAGTCTGTGGAAGTTTTTCGTGAGGATGTAATGAACTTTGCAGAATCATATGAGTTGGTAATTTCAGTATTTACATGCTCTGTGCTATTTGCTGGTATGTTTATATGAAATGGAAGTGATAGGCCCCAAGAAATACACTGTGATTTGTACATTGCATGTAAGAGGCTATATTTGCATATTCACACCAATCAAAAAGGGAAGCATGTTTTATAGAGTTAGAAAAAAGATTTACCTGCTAAAAGGAGCAACAAATTTAAAGATCCCGGAAGGAACAAAGGGTCTGGTTTTGCCCGTTCTCAGGCCAGAATCTCATAGTGGAAAATGTAATACAGTTGTTGAAAGGCTCTAAGAGACTGTAAATGCCCTAATATCAGGGTATTCCCCAACTGATCCCCCCCCCACACACACACACTAACTCTTAGAAAACTAGAGTGTCACTGAAAATAAATAATAAAAGTCATACTTGGTCAGTCCCACAGGCTGTTCAACCTGGAATAATGACTGACAGTGGTCGATCTCCAGATGTTAAACTCAGAAGTTGGATATATTCTTCCCTTTCTTGCAGTGATCACAACAGATCTGGATTCACAACAGATTTAAGCCTTTAGTGCTACTTATATAACACTTTTTTTTTTACATGTACCGAACTTATCTCTTTACTGCTGGTTGTATTAGTCAACATTTGACCGCCCAGTCATTGCTATCCTGGGAATCTGGTCTGTTACTGGCCCACCCATGACATTCATGATTGGACAGACTATCTGGGCTCCCTTTTGCAACTATTTTCTGGCTCATGCCAACAGAGACCGTCCACTGCTTCTTTCCAGTGTCCAACCTGTGCGCATGTCTATTTCCACGTGGGGCTGAAGAGCTATGGAAAGGAGGCTGCTCTCAGAGCTCTGTAATGGGTATTCTGATGCACAGCTGCAGCAGCATCACTCTTAAGTGAGATGGAACAGCTGTGGTGGCACAAACGTCATACAGGATGAAAGTTTGTCACCTTTTTAAAAAGAGGAGACCACAGAGACACAGTGACTAACTGTGATATGGGATCCTGGATGAGGTCCTGGAACAGAACACAGACTTCAGTGGGAAAACCGAAGAAGTCTGAATAAAGTCTGTTTAATAGTCTTGTACCAGCATTAATTTTCAGTTTTGATAAACGTACCATGTTAACATTATGGGAAGCTGAGTGAAGGGTATATGAGAGTTCTCTTTGCAATTCTCCTGTAAGTCTACAATTTAAAATTTTTTTTTAAAAAAATAGCATCTGCTTATTCTAACAAGTCAAACCAAATGGGAAGTATTAAGATTGCCCCAATTTAAAAATGAATGAAAGTTGGAGTGATCCAATGTTCTAAAGTTAATTGTGGTCATGGTTATACAACTCCATTAAACAAAAAATATTGAATTGTACATATCTCAAAACTGTTACAAAAAATAAATGGAAACTTCATGTACAGGACAAAGTTAGACCATTTAAATTTAAAATACTGTTTATTTACTCAAAAGAAAATAATAGTTAAATCCAGTAAATTAATAAGTATATATGATTAGGAATTAAAATGGAGATTATATTATTCATTATAGGAAGGACCCATGGTTCCAAATATACCACCCCAAGAAGCTAGCAACAGGCTACAGATATTTCAGGTAAAACTATGTTTTTTGGTAATATGTAAAACTGCATTTTTTGTTACACATTAGGCAATGTGTAGTGATTTTTAAAAATGCTTTTAGGAAAAAATTTCTGCATTTTATCTAAAATGGAATGTTAATGTTTAAAGTAGATATAGATTTTAATTGTATGCTAATCTACTAAATCATATAATTGATTCCTTTTCTTGTGTCCCTCCATGCTCTTTTCCACAGAATATCTCTTTGTATTTTTAGAAAATAAGACTTTAATTTTGAATTTAAGTGTATACCTTATTCTAGTTCCAAGCATTTCATTTGTATGTAAAGTGATAAAAATTACAGAATAATAAAGTCCTATATAATAAATGGGTAATATGAAAATTGACCCTAATGGTGGAACAACCTGTCACTATGATGTGCACTGACCACAAGGGGGTAGATGCTCAACGCAGGAGCTGCCCCCTGGTAGTCAGTGCACTCCCACAGGGGGAGCTCTGCTCAGCCACAAGCTAAGCTGATGGATGTGAGTGCAGCGGCGGGGGTGGCGAGATCCTCTCCAGTCTCCTCAGCAGCGCTAAGGATGTCCGACTGCGGCTTAGGCCTGATCCCCTGGGGAGCGGGCCTAAGTTGGCAGGTGGACATCCCCCGAGGGGTCCCTAACTGCAAGAGGGTGCAGGTCGGGCTGAGGAACCTCCCCCTCCCCCCAGTGCATGAATTTTCGTGCACTGGGCCTCTAGTGTACCAAAAAAGATTTTAAATATTAATGGTTTGTCCTCTCTCTGTATCCATTAATTTTCTTCCTTCTGTATCCATCACTTTCAACTTCCCTGCTCCTTTGTCCTGCCTGGGACCATACAATACTCCTTGAGTCAGGCCACCATTCACTGTCTTTTTCTGCACTCAGATTGCTGCACATCTAGAGAAAAGTCACACACTTGTTTGATAGATGCTGTGCAGATTCATGGATTCCTATGTAAGCCAGCTCCCCGAGAGCATCAGGAATTCTTTGGTTTTTTCTGTTCTTGCTCCTGCTTTCTGCAGTGGCTGTTTGAAATGTCCATGTTCTCCTTATGTTCCCTTTTCCACCTGCATTCTTAGTTATCAGATGTCTACTGTGTGACTTGATAGATAGGAAGATGGTTAAGAAATGGTTCTTTTACCTCTAAGCTGCTAAAACCTGGTAGGGAGACAGAGAGCTAGAGAAACAATCACAGCACCGTGTGGTGAGCACTGTGATCTGGTTATGGGAACTCGTGGTATGCAAACAGATGTAGGAGCTCCCCACCCTGATGAGGGCTGGTCGGGCAAACAGGGAGGGCTCCCCGGAAGAGGAGGCATCCAAGCTGCATCTTGAAGGACTAATTAGACTTAGCCAGGAGGAGGAGGAAAAATAAGTTAGGCAGAATTTGTGGCCCCAAATGAGGAGATAAGCAGAGAGCTTTAGGGAGATGTAAGGAGTGTAATGTGGGGTGCCGTGGGCAAAGAAGGTAGTAATGAGGGAGGGGGAGCTGAGTGGGCCGCGATCACTAATGGGAGGGCCTTGCAGGCTATAATGAGGAGCTCTAGCCTATCCCGAGGGCTGCAGGGCTCCGAGCAGGGAGCGATATAGTCAGATTGGGCTGGTACAGCAGTTGTGTTTTTAAAAGATTTCTCTGGCACCAGTGTGCAGAGTGGTATGGAGGGAGGATGGCCTGGTTCATGGCAGTTTCACTAATACAAACAAGAAACGGAAAGACTGAGACCAAGAAGTGGCACTTGGAATAAAGAAAACTGGATGGATCATGAGTTAGTCAAGAGGCTGACTTAATAGGCTCGGAGCCTGGGTTGGGGGAAAAAGATCAGGTTTGGAGGAGGAGTTTTGGGATTTTTTTTTTTTACAGATGACCTTGTCTTTAAATTTACAGAGGAAATTTAGGATCTGAGATGTAATTTTCAGAGAGGAGCCCCTTCCTGTCCCTGAGGGCTCTCTACTCTCTCCCTGGTCTCTTCTGAGGTCAACCCTTTTTCTTCTGTACTTTCAGCCTCTTCCTCTTTATTCAATCTTCTTAGTCAGCATTTAAAACTGTTTGTCTTTTCTTCTTAAAGTACAGTAACAATAATAACCGCCTCTGTGTCCTGGACCTCCCTCCAGACCTCGCCTCTCCTTTCTTTCCCGGCCCCCGTCCTGCCTGCGTTTATTCTCGGGCAGCTCATGGCCGTCCCAATGGGAGACGCAGAGCTGCTGTCCAGAAGCCGGTGCTTTCCTCTTGGCTAGGGCTCCCCACGCTGAGCCGCAGTCTAGCCACCAGAAGGTGTTCTGTAGCTCCACCACGTGTGGGGGGGGGGGCGTTTCTAAATGTCCCTTTACCTCTGCCAGGAGTTCCTTTACGTCACTTGATAACTGGGTTTCACCCAAGCAAGTGAACGGAGGAGTGGAGTCAGCAACCTGTTCTTGCCGCCTTATTTTATGTTCCATGGCTGGTTTGGCTGGTTCCATGCAGCCTTTCACCGAAAAGGTTCAGTCAAGTTAGATGAGTCTCTCAGTTGCAGGTTCTTCTGAAAGCAGGAGCGGTCGTTCAGGCTTTCCCCATCCTAACCAGCTGGAGTTTCTCCTGTGGCATCTAACTTCCAAGTAGCTCCCTTGATGTGAATGTTTTAAAATAGAACATCGATACTACGACGAGAAGAGTGTTTCTTCATCCCTCGTGGGATAACCGTGCAAAGCAGATGCAATGACCTGCCGGAGCCCAGGTCTCCGCCGCCTGGTTCTGGGAAGGTCTAGCCCAGTCACGCGCGTGGGTTGCATAAAGGAGGGTGCCTGTGTTGGAGAGGGTTTTCCTGGGTTGCAGCAGGCACACGCCTTTCACTTAATTGTGACGTCCTCAGACAAATAGTCAAGTTTCCCGTTATTGTCACGATTCTCCTCTCCCCAGAAATATGGAGGTCACTCTTGGACTAACACCAGCTCCTCCCAGCACCCTGCCAGCACTTTCTCCCAGAACCTGGAGGAGGCTCTGGTCCTTTGCTAACTGAAGTCCTCGGGTTTGGACCCAAAGTGCCAGGGAAAGGCCTGTCTCTCTGGAGGAGCCAGGACGAAAACCGGCCTGCTCACCTGGTCGCCGCCAGCTGAGCCAAGCGAAACCCCTCAGCCACAAAAGCAAAATGAATAATGAAGAGATAGTAATATTGGATGATGATAAGTGCCCAGGGTGGGGGTGGGGGGGGAGGGAAGGCAGGGAAGGGCCATAGAGTGCTGGGCTGTGTGAATGAGGAGGTGAAATTTAAAATAGGATCGCCAGAGAGGGCTTCCTTGAGAAGGTGATAGTTGAATAGAGACCTAGAGGATGAGGGCATGAGCCAGGCAGGTATCTGGAGGAGCCACTTCCCAGGCCTGGGAAGAGCAAGCGCCAAGGCCCTGGGTAAGAGCTTACATGAGAAGCAGCAAGGGGTCAGTGTGGCTGCAGCGGAAAGAGCAAGGGGAGAGCCATAGCAATGGGCAGAGAGGAAAGGAGGGACAGGCTGGAGAAGACGGGCCAGCCCAGGAAGGGCCCTGGGTTCGTTCTGAGTGAGAAGAGTGACGTGATCTGATTTATGTTTTCAGTGGCCGCCCTGGCTGCCGTGTTGAGTACAGATTGTTGGCAGTCAGGGGAGAAGCAGGGAGACTGATTAGGAGGCCATTGCAATAATCCAGGTGCGAGGTGTTAGTGACGTGGGC